ATTCCTAGAACCTGGAGTCCCTGCGTCTTTCCAAGGACTAAATAAATATAGAAAACGTTAGAACTATAGTTGCACCATCGATTCACTTATTTATTTTCTGTCCTGTTCTTTAAATGCATTAAGCTTGGTGACCATACGCCTGTCCAAATATAGAAGAATATTGCTGTGGACCAGAATCGGTGTGTTGGACATATATTTTGTTACCTGGCATGGTAATTGCGATCTGTTCTTTCTTCATCTACTTCGAAGTTTCTTCCTATTAAATGAATTCTTGAACTGCAATGATTCTTGTTTTACTATACAAAGATTGGTGTGACGACGCCTTACAGCTTCATAAGCAAAGTTCTAGCATGATGATATGTGTTGAACTGAATTGATATCATATCTGTTTAGTGCTGGAAGCTGCTTGTTTGTAAGGTATATTGCCCAACCATACATGCTATGGTCATAAACGAACATCTTTAAATTTAACAGGCTAATCAGCTTCTTTTGGGATTGAACATTCTCTTGTCCACGAGTTGTGGTTAAGAAATCGTAACTGTCAATATCTCAAGGTTAATTGAAAATCATCTAGAATGTGTGAAAATAAACAGTGTAGAGCGATCATGTTCTAAACGTTTAAATATGGTGGGGTGGATATACTCGGTGCCTAGTAGAGACAGTGGCACTGTACGTTGCGGTTTCCTTTACACCAGACCTAAGTAACGTGGGCGCTGTGATGTTCTACAACTCTCCACCTTGTACCTTTATCATACTTTTATAATGAGTGTAATAGGGAAAGGAGTTGTATAAACCCAGTTTGAAAGATTGAGTATGTGTTTGGTGGGACAAGGTGTATAAAGGTAATATGTCTGTATCGTGTTAGTTTTTAGGGTATTTTTGTTAAGGATATCAAATAGCCGTGTGTAACATGTACAGAGTACGTTAACAAACATTATCAATAGCGTTCAGATATTTTGTCAGATTATTGAGGAATTTAGTAAGCATTTTAAAAGGTGAATAGAACTATTTAAAACTGAGTATCGGGTCAATGTGAAACCGTGGTCTCAGGGTTTCTCATATTGTTACTATACAGCTTTACGTTCAATGATGAAAACACGACATGACAAAAGAATGCTGTATTTAACGGGCGTCTGTTACATTCAGTCTTTGAAATGGAAAGCTTGTAATAACCAATACATGAAAGTACAAATTTCAAAATAGCAACGAGCCTCGCCTATCTGACGTTTTGTTTATTGTCTCAGTTAAACTCAGTTGGTTATTTCGTCACTGAATATGGTAGCCAAAGCCAAATTCAACAAATATTCATCGCGATAAACGAAATATTTCAATAAAATTCAAACTTCCATGGCAAGAACAACGGCATATATTGTGCATAAATACAATCCCAATCCTACAACGAGAGAACTTACAGTATAATGAGGTAGATAGTGTTACGATGATCTTGAATTTGTAAAATGACCTTCTTCATTCACTGGTTAAAAGTGAATGGCTTCGATCAAAGTGAATCAAAGGTTTAAAAGAATTTAATGTTCCTATGCTATTTTATGTATGACCAGACATCACACATCCATTCATTCATTGAACTTCATTCAGTATAATGCATGGTGAAGGAAAGCTGTTTTTGTTACCGCAGAATAATAAAACACAGGAAGTATCAATAACACGATTTAAATACTTGGTTTGTTCAGTAGAAGCACATCAAGGGGCAACATTGTTCAGATAAATAATACATTTTATGGATAACAATTGCTGTTTTAATAATATTGGAACGTTTCGACGATGGTCCTCTACACTTAGACTCGCTTTTACGGTATATATACTGTGTTTCTAAAATCAGTTACCATATGCTTGATAAAGACAAGAGAACCATCGTTGAAACGTTGCAATATTATTGAACAGTAATTGTAATCCATTAAGTGTATATTTACTATAATTAATTAGTAAATGTCAATGGAAGTATTATTTACTTTATCAAAAACATCAAATATAAAGCTAACATGATATGGTTCTTATGAACTATATTCCTAACAGATTTGAATACATGGCATTTGTACACATTTGACAAGAATTCGGCTTTCCAGATTATAATCTAACCTCTATCTGTTTTGCAAGGTGGCTAGGGTAAACATCAATTTCGTTTGCTTTATGTTAACATTACTTAGTGACTGACTACTTTCGTTGGTAAAAAGTATCTTATGCATTAATATTTATTTTAATGAAAATATTCGGCTATGTAACAATTCACCAACAAAGGTAATCAATCTGAAATTTAATCGATGGTTATATTCTTGAGGGTAACCAGCTTACGGACATTCATTTCATCTTTATTTCATCAGTAAGCTATGTATTTAAAAAGTAACCTTCTCCACATTTATTTCAAAAGCAGGGTTTCACAATCCCAGGTGTGTAAATAGCAGGGATTGTCAATACCCACACCAATCAGTTCGCAACAGAAATCAGGGTGTTCACAAAGACGTGCTTCAAGATATACGGGATATATTTAGTGCAAGGACGATTAATTTCTAATGTCAGCCTAATCTGTTCTGATTGATTCTTCCTCTTCATTACCTCCATTCTTACAGCAGCATTCATTGACGAACATCGCTTTCTGTCAGACCTAACCTCTTGTCCTTACCAGGGGTAGTTGTCGACGACGACTTTCCATCTCTATTTTGTGAATGAATAAACGTATCAAAAGGCACTCCTACTCTCAATCAAGCGGAATTCATTTGTATTGACTCTATACAGGGTTGTCAATATGTTTACTATTAAACACGCTGATCGTTGATTTCCCTTCAACGATTTGGCAATCACCCCACTCTGTATTATGGTAACAAATAATCACTTTCATTCAGGTTTAGGATTATAAGATTGAATACTAAAGAAAGCTGTGGTGTGGTGTATTGGACTTGGAGAGTAAGCCATTATACCTTGTATATACCACTTATTCAAACAAACGCCGATATAGGTTAAATGCGTATTCAATAATGACTTTGGCACCACTTGCGGTTTCTATACAATGTCTTACGTTCTTATCATAAATTAAACCAGATAATACTTGGACATACGCGGACGACAATTATGTTGTGTCTTTCGTAATGACAGTATAGTCGTATTAGATGTATTACGAGTAACTTGCCCTGCGACATACAGTTGCGTCAATACAATGTATATCCAGAACTATACAGTTGCGTTAGATGTTTTTAAAGACTAACTTTATCCTGCCCTGCACCATACTGTTGGGCCATATGTTTTCAAAAACGTTACCTGTTCTACACCATGAAGTTGTACTAAAGCGTAACTATATACTTCCCTGCATCATACAGTGGTATCGGATGTTATAAAAATGTAACTATATACTGTTCATAACAGTGGTATCAGGTATTTTAAAACAGTAACCATATTCTTCTATCCAATACACAGTGGTATTGGGTGTTTTGAAAGAGCAGCCATATCCTGTCCTGCATCATACAGTTATGACATTTTTCAAAAAGGTTAATGTCCTGCACAATACTGTGAAGTCAGATTTTTTTCCAAAAGAGTTAACATATCCTGATCTTCATCACAAAGTGTGTCTAGGTGCTTTGCTAGAGTAACCACATGTGCCTTGCAGCATACAATGGCGTCGGGTCTTTTTTTTTAAAGAGTAACCCTAACATGCCCTCTACCATACATTTTTTTTAAAAAGTAACTATGTCGCTATTGTACTTGATATATATAACAAAAACAGTAACTATTTCCTGTCGTAAAGAGTGCATTTGTTTCATAAGAGTAATCTTATACTGCAGTGGTGTCAGGTGTTTTGAAAGAGTAACTTCATCCCAACTACTATACCGACACCAGAAACAACGATATCGGGTAACCGTACGCTTTAAAGTAAAAAAAAATCGACTAGTAGCTTACTTTATTTGTTTGATATACTTGTGTCATAGATATTGTTATTTTGATGTAAAACAAGCACCTTATTGATGTCTTGGTTCATCCTGATGTTGTTATTGTTATACATCACAGGAAAGATTTGTATAAAGTACAAATGGAGTATTTGGTTAATATTTTTTTTTTTTAAGTTGAATATTAAAAAGAGTGACCTACAAAAATTCCCTAGATAATCAACCGAGTGGCAAACTAACAAAAGTAGCTGCTTTATGATTCAAATGTAAATTAAATGCGTTTATTCTTTACTAAATGGTTTTACTAGTATTGTACTGGATAACAAAGATGTTATTTAATAGCACGTCTTGACAATCGAGTATAAACACTTGTAACCTTATCCGGGTACTTTCATATGATCCTTCATTGAAAGAAATGGTGAATCGGTTTTTTATAAATGGCATACACAAATTGTAATGCTTGAATGATGTTTTCATCTTTTACCATTGACTATATACACAGTGGTTGTATTGTGTTAAAGGGCAATAGAAGGAACTAGAGCTAGTTAAAGGGACAAGTTGCTGGTTTCATATTTTGCTCATTTTAAAGACGAAATTTGATTAATAGTTACACTTAGCTTATTTGGTTCGGAAAATAACACCAATTTGCTAGGGATATAACATCAAATACACATGTATATTCTGCATTGAAAAAGTCGTATTACCATAATAACTATCCATAGATAACAGTAATGTTTTTAATTAATTGTAATTCATTGTCACAATTGTAACAAATTAAACAGTTACAAAGAACGACAAGGTTTGATTGGTACCTTTTGGAAGATGCTAAAACATCCACACAAATTATAACGTTATAGACATAGAGCATGTTATTAATTGTTAAACTACATATATGCTGTAATGGATGTTGGCGATGATTTCACGTTCACGTTTTTGGTACACCTGTAGATATGCTATTGGTGCCCAGCATCAGGTAACTGTATGAGTCAGAACGAATTAAGCACAAATTGACTAATGATAACTTTTAGATTTTATCTTACGTTTGGTTGATTATTGGGAATTGCAAATTGTAATCAATATCATATATTGTTTTATTTTTCAGAGGACGTACAGCTTGGGTGTACAGAATTAAGGGCCAAAAGATATATCTCAGACGGGTTTTGCACATCAATGAAAGCCATAAAGGAAGTTGTGTGCGCAGGAAACTGTTTACCTATTAGAGACATACCATGGTATGCTGAATTTATCAAATATTGGTCACGTGATAAATATCGAGACTTTCAGTGCGAAGAGGACGTTGTGAGGCGTAAAAAAGTTCGTTTACTGTGTCAAAATGGAGAATACAGAAGTTACAAAATTAAAGTTGTGAAAAGCTGTAAGTGTAAAAGAATGAGGAGCATTCACAATAAAACGACGCGAAAAGACAGACGGCGGAGACGTCGTAAAGACAGGCGGAATCGTAATCGGAAACGACAGAGACCAAATAAGAAAACTCCTGCTCCGTGAATGTATAAAAAAGATATATTATGTTATTCTTTATCTTCCATTTTACCACCCCGATCTGTAGCTTGTGTGCGTCCTAACGTAACGGTCGAGTAGGTGGACGAGCGGAGATGCGTCTGCGTTGACGTGATGTCTGATCGAAACGCATTCAGGTTCAAGAGTACATGTCACTTCATAGAGCGATATATAAGTAAGGCAATTGGCCAGTATATGGATTATCTATCCTAGACCTGAATTCTCGATACTGGCAGTTAATTATGGATGGATTATAGCTGGTATTCTTGTGTTGGAATTAGTTTGATGGACTTGTTATTGTTATCCATTAATCTCATATTCGTTGTTGTTTTATCATCATTGTGTTCATCTTCAACTTCATCACCATCTAGTAGATAGTACTAACGGCATTGCACATTGAACCACATTCCAACCTCTGAGTGTTGCCATTCCATTGTGAATCCCATCCTTCCTCTTAATGTATAAAATATAAGTGTATTATATTGTGTATTTGAATAACCAGGTTTTCTGTTAATAGAACTTTTAATATAAATAATTATAGCAATTTCAATACATCACGTTTTGTGGGCGACGACGTGAAACACTACAAAATATGGATCTCAATAATACACTTGTTTTACTTATCTTAAATTACTCGGGTCTGGTAAAGTAAGCAATCTTTATTGCTTGGACTCTTCCTCTATGGATATGGATAGACTATAAATATAGCTGGAATAAAAGTGCCAACAATCTGTGTTCAGGAATCTAGGATATAATGCAGTGACGGATCACAAACCATAGTGAACTATCACATTCAGTGATAACTTTGTGAAACAGTGCCATTTATTTCTGAAAACGGGGGATTGTTTACTTAAGTGATTCTTATCTTTCGTCGACAGAGACTTTCGTAGTTCTTTTGAAATCCGTATTTAAGAAATCCAAACTAAGTTGAAAAACCTCGAGACTTCTTTAAGTAGAAGATATTTTGTGCAGTTGAGTTCAAATGGCGATCTAATATTGTCATTGGTTACTTTAACAATGTTGCCAATGACAACCTGAAACATTTAAAGTGCGCATGTCTGAGCCCTAATTGTGATGTGTATAGTTATAGTGTTGCAATCAGTGAATAATTGGATTATAGATGCATCAACAATTTCCAGAAAACCTGTTCGCTTAGTACAGAATCAAGAGAGGTCGAGCATTCTCAATTCCAAATATTAAAACCAATAGGCATAAGAGTTTCTATAGCTAAAATGACAATATTTTCGCATTTTCTTAAGGTATATTATGTCACACTTTCAATCACGTAGAATCAATATTCGTGTGGACTACAAAATTTAATTGCTAACAGAAATCTTAAAACTTGATATTTTATCAAAATTTAATAATTAACATAGGACTACCAACACCTATCTCACAGAAACACAACCTTTAATATTGGATTGCGAATGCTTGTCCTCTACACACCACTTCATTTAGAAGAAATATTTGAATTAAACTCGGCAGTCACTTCCTGGCAACTGGTAAAACAAATTATAATCAGGTAACTTATCATATAAATTGCTCTTTCCAAAGTAGCATCTATAAAATCGACGTGTTGTGGAAGCATTTAAGGCTGATTTAGTAATCAGAAACTGTGAAAATATGACTATCGTTAAGCTATACTGTTAAAACAATGAGCTTCAATGTTCCCCCAATACGTCCTCTAACTAATTGACTGGTATGTATGTGTAAATGCGACTATGTATATCTTCTTGATAATAAGAACATATTTTATTTTATGTTTATGTATCATCATATTTGAAATGTACAAATGCCCAGACAAAATAAAAGATTAAAAATATCCTATATAACGTAGTTCGAAGGATCATTGTAATCTTTAACAGTAGAGAAGATTCGGCATAGTATTGCAGTTCACATTCTTCATTGGCTGATGATTCAATACTTAATACACCCTAACCTGCACTACTTGCAAGGGGGTTACAGACTCACTAGGGGTTTAGGGTACATTTATGATGCAGTTTTACATATCACATTCAGAGAAAGTCTGTATGGAATAGTTTCAAAATCCAGAGGTAGTCTTCAAATGCAACTGTCGTTATGCAGTTATTGATTCTGCTCTGATTCAACGTAAACTTTGAATATAGGTACAGAACAACTCCATTGTTCTAATTTCACTTGAATCCACTTTGACTTTTACATAGAATTGAAATAGCCAAGTTGGAGACGGTTAAATGGCAATAAGCAAAACTTGAAAAAGTAACCAAATCATTCTGTTTAGATTTATAGTTGCATTTATTTTTGTAACCATAATCTGTATAAAGTTTATTTAGTTAAAATGTGGAGAGAACACAAATCAGCACAAAATGTACCATTCTTTCTACGATAAGTCGAAACCTTCAGTAAGAGTCGTGAAGGACGTGTCCCTATTTCAAATGTCATAATATTGAAAAGTTTAATATATTATGTATTATTAGTGTGTATTCGACCCACTTATTTCAAACCCATTATTTCCTACATAAATACAGTGAATAGACGCCACAAAACCCTCTTTTTTCTCCCTCTATTATATATTATAACTTTACAAGCTCATTCAATTTTCTAGTTTTTATTGTATAACCAAATCTTGACTATATTGTTAATCGGCGGCCATGTTGGAAATACGGTGAACTTGAAGCCACAAACTATCATTTTTAAATACCCTTTTATTAGTTAACTATATACGATGTTTTGACAATACTAGCGATAATATACACGGACATGTATCTGTAATATAACTTATTCCAATGATTGCATTTACTACAATGTAGATTAGAGGTGCTAGACGTCCCGTTACATGAGGAACACCTCGATCAGAGGTTGACATCTGATCTTCCATAGTTCCACAGTTGCAAGTAAAGATTTACAGTGGTTACATTCGAAAATGTTCATATTTTACATCTCAGTATAGCTCAGAATCTATTAATGATACTGATCGGAAATGATTTTGATATCAATTTATTGATTACAAAATGGTGTAATATGTAACTTATCAACCACCTTACCACTGACCAGTTCAGTACGTTTTACTCTTTAATCTGTTAGTCTCAGAATTTAATATTCATATCCTTACCACTTGTTTCGTTCATTACTTGTCAGCTTGGGATGTAGTCGTTTACATTGCCCAACATTGGAAACAGAATTTACATCACGTCAGAAAGTGTTTACAGGTCTACCAGAAGATTTAATATCAAACGCTCACAATCGCATACCACTAACTTAATTTTGATTTGATATCTACCGAAGAAAAATTCCAATTTGACCCAGATACAATTTGAAATTGGTGATGAGTCACCACCAAGTTTAGCCTTCACCTGTAAAGTCAATTGACATAAACCTAGGTTGGAGATAATCCACCTCTGTAATCTACTATATATACATTGTATGTACCGGCTTATTAACTAGTTAATACTGACTTCAGATGCACAAACCCTACTGACATTTAACTGAACAGATGTGCATAATAAATGAATACCTGATGTTACTCTGCGACTAGGTGTATCAGCTCGACATCTTCACGGACCACTATTTTGTACAGAGGCACATTCATGAATCGCCTGACTCACCGCACAAGTATAGTTTTTCGTCGCATTCTACAATGAACTTCGGCAAGCGTACCTTCTAAGCCTAATTCCCTTGATTGATTTTATATTATCATTTACCTGCATAAATATAATATGTGCAATAACGCATGAATTATATCATTAAATTTAAAGAACTCAAATCAACATGTACATGTATAAAACTTTTAAAAATCACACTTTTCTATAGGCCCTATTCGGTGAGCGAAGAAGAAAAAAAAAGAAATCTGTTGTGTAGGACATTCTGTTGTTAGTCATCAATTCTTAGATCAGATCACCTCAACCTTTCATCAACTTATTGTTTTTAAACACACTTTCCACGTCTGCACATTCCCGCCTTTTTCTTTGTCTTGTCATATTATGATGTAATGAGAATGACAGACGGTAATGACGTAATCATTGTCCATACAAAATCTCAATTTTGCACAATAGAACTGCATGACAATCATGTTTGTTTTTTGATCGTACACGCGCTGCACGTGCAATGCAGATTATTGTTTGATTGCATATTAGAGAAATAAAGAGGGTGTAAGAAACATGAGACCACTTCACAGAAGACAAAGAAATTAATGGTGGTATTATTCCACTATAAAAATGACATGAGTCCTCGAATTAAAATGATTAATCTCTTATCAACGATGAATTCAATCTGTAAGATCATCTCAACCTTGAGGTTGCCCTGCCCTGCTTTATAAACTCCGACAGAAAAAGGGGGCTGTACCATAAAATAGTAAACTGATAGTTAAAGCTTTAAAACTGCGTTGCAATGATGCAGATTCATGATTTTATTAGTCAATGGTTACATTTTTACTAGCAGGGAAAATAAGCGCTCAACTAGCTTGGCTCGATGATTGGATGCTGGTTGCAGACATCAGTATCTAAAACCAGACATGGCGTAGATTACCTTCCAGAAACGATGATTATCAGATGGACGTTAACAACAAAAACCAACTCAACTCTATATATGAAAGTTGAGTTATCATTGTTGAAATCTGAACAATAATACAGGCTCTGTATTCTCGAAAGATCTTAGCGCTAGGATGTCCTAGAATCTATGTTAGAAGACGAGAACTTAGCTAGCTAGCTAACTAGCGTTAAGATCGTTTCGAGAATACATGTCCAGGATCCTTAGCCTTTATCTATTAGTAGAATATTAATAGAATATTGCAATAACTGGTGCTCATCGATTTGCCCTCGGAACTTTTGTTGTGACTGACTTTTTATTTTTGTTATCCAGTAAATACATAATAGAGTGGATGTGAAAATGATCAGGTAATGGAATGTCCGCACGTGTTGAAT